ATTAGAAAGAAGGACCAAATAGATTATTTAATTGACATGAAAGATGAACAACAATTGATTGATTGGAACTTGGAGGGAGGAACTAGAGTTATAGGATCTCCTAAGATGTGTCAAAGCTGGGCCCTTGGAGAGAGTCTGTATGAGCCTGGGCCTGGATTGTACAGTTGGGTTGCTTGGAATTGCCCTGTTCTGAGTCAAGCACAACTTGTCACAGCACAGCAATGAGTGCCTTTGGCAAGAAAGCATGATGGACCACGCCTGAACACTTTGACCCATTGGTGTTCCTCATGAAAAGGGTCTGGAGAAGCACTTACCTATGCTGCATCCAGGTACACAGCCACAGCCTTATTCAGCTGGAGAGATGGTTCACAGCCTCAGGCCAGACACATATCACTGTAGGGGACCACTTAGGGCAAGCCAGTGGTTGATAGAGGTGATCTGGAGTGTGGGGAGCCAGGACTCCTACCAAGAGGCCCAAGGCTGTGTGATGCTACAGCTTTTCCAGAGCCAGCCCTTGACATGGCGTGGCTTGGATGCCTCTTTTAGGATTCAGCCAGATACCTGGAATCTGGCTCTTGCTACAGCATGAGTGAGACCATCTCTCTGGAAGTTCCTCAAGGTTATCCTTGCCAATTTTTTGGATGGTTGGGGTTCCACTGGAGTTCTCTCTATCCATAATAAGTCAGCTCTCCTGGGAAACTGGGTTGTATGAGGAGAGTCTTCACCAGCCTTTTAGAAATACATGAAAGTTCCTGAAGGAAGTTGAATGGATGGACCACTCTGTCACTCTCAAGCAGGTCTTACTCCTAGGTTTAAGTCTCTGCTCTATCTACTGGCAAAGATATCCAATAAAGAATGCTGTCTAATAAAAAAAAGAAACTCAGTTATCTTTATTTTTAAAGAATATTTTGTAGCCTGGCGTGGTTGTACACACCTTTAATCCTAGCCCTTGGGAGGCAGAGGCAGGTGGATCTCTGTGAGTTTGAGGCCAGCCTGGTCTACATAGCAAGTGCCAGGCCAGCTGGGGCTACAGGGAAAGCTTGTCTCAAAAAAAAGAATATTTTGTTTATTGTTTTTATTTTATGTGTATGAGTACATTGCCTGAATGCAGGTAAGTGCACCCGTGTTGTGCAGTGCCTGCAGAAGTCAGAAGACGGCGTCAGATCCCCCATAACTGGATGGAGTTATGGATGGTTGTCAGCCGCCATGTGGGTGCTGGGAATCGAACCCAGGTCACCTGCAAGAGCAGCCAGTGCTATTACCTGCTGAGTCATCTCTCCAGCCCTCTGTTATATTTCTATATAGAAGAAACAAATGATTTGAAAGGAAAAGAATCTAAATGAGTTCCACTAATAATAGCATCAAAACGTCTTGGAAAACATTTACAAAAGTTCAGCATCTGGTGTAATGGTGATTATGGAAAAGAAGGAATGAAAATGTGGTGTGTGGGGAAAGGTGTCTGTACACCAGTGATGGGAATGTAAACTAGCACAGTTACTAGGAGAATTATGGAGGTGTTGTAAAACACAAAAAGTGGAACTCGTGTGACCCAGAAATCTCACTTGGAAGCACATACTTAAATAATTGAAACTGGTATTTAAAGGTATGTTTGCCTATGTCCATCCTGTCAGGAGATGGGAATTCTATCACTCATGAATACATGGATGGAACAAGAGGACATCATGTAAATGAGATAAACCGGGCACACACAGAGGGAAGGAACGTAGCACCGTCTGTGATGTTGATGCCCTCATGTCTGTCTCTGGAAAATCTGCTCCCCTCTCAACACTTCAAGCTGATTTGGCTTCCAGGGGAAATCAAGGCAGTGTGTTTGTGAAATGTCACTCTGTCTTGTTGATCTGGGCTTGTGTTTCTGGCCAGCTCTGTCCTCAATTGCAAACACATCCCCACCCACTGTTCCTTAGTTCCTTCCTGGCGACTCTGAATGAGTGACTCACTGGACTGAGAAGTGCACTGGTGATGAATGAGAGGAAGTGATTGTGACTGAAAGTTGTCTACTGATTCCAGGAGTCAGGCCAAGGCCTTCCCTAGGAGAGGGTGCAGTCATCTCACCATATTGGTCTCACCGGTGCCACCTACAGTCCTTTTCCAGCTTCTAAATGTTTCCTGTGATGCATCAGCACTTGCTTATGGACTGTCCTTGGTATTCTGATGGGATCTGTGCTCAGAACACTCACCACAACAGGAAGCCTAGGCCATGGTGTCTCCCGGCAGGACTGAAGCTGCCCCTTGGGCAATAATGTTGGCATGATCTGAGCCAGCCATGGGGAAATTGGGTGATTAGACAGAAATTAGAGATTCTTGATTAAACTGAAGACTTCATTTGGGCATTGAAAACTTTAGTGACTAATCTCAGACCTTGAACCACATCTCTTGAAAAGTATGCTTTCTCCCTCCACAAGACTTTGGGGTTATGGTATGAGAAGTGAGCTGAGACAAAGGTGAAGAGGTTTCTTTGATGGTACGCTATACTGGAAATCCACAGGCCTACAGCAGATGAAAATTCCAACTTATATTTTCTTGAGACAGGTCTCACCATGTAGCCCTCGTTGGCCTGGAACTGGATAGGTAAACCAGATTGGCCTCAAACTCACAGAGATCCACCTGTCTCTGCCTCCTGAGGTGCTGGGATTCCAGGTGTGTATTTTAAAGACTGTGAAATTACAAAATGCAAACGAATCAAGTTTTGATACACTGTGTGATGGGTGGATAAGACTGTCCATTGTATCATTTCTTTCTTTGGATCCTCAGGTATGGTTTGGCAGTATATGAACTCTGTAACATTAAGAAATTCAATAAAACTAAGTATATAGATGGATCATGAAACAAACAAACAAACCAAGAATATTCACCACAACAGCAACCTCCAGAGTCAGCATATCCCTGGATAGGAGCTTAAGCTCAGAGGCAGGCAGGTGTTCATGTGACCAGGCACATGCTACTATGTCTAGTGAGCAGATGAACTCCTGCAGGGCAGCAAGGCTCAGGGCTGTTCACAGCCACCAATGGGCAGGCGTTGGGTGAACAGTATGCCCTAAACTGAAATTCCTGCACAGCAGGGTGGTCAAGACCTGGCATCCTGGTAAACTTCTTGGCAATCTTTTTGTGATGGTACCAATAGTGTTCTAAAATGTATAGAAGCACAGATTTATCTGTTATTAGGGTGAAATACCAGGATATTAGTGGTCAAATTATGAAGAGGCAGACAGATTCTTGAATAGCATGACTTTTATAGTAAAGGAAATATCTACGAATAGGAAACTATAATAAAAATATCCCATCTGATTATTTTTTAAATCTTTTTTTATACTTTTTAGTATTATTTTACGTGTACGAGTGTTATGCCTACACATATGTAAGTGCACTCATGTAGTGCAATACAGGACAGAAGAGGCCGCCGGATATCCTGGAACTGGAGTTACAGATGGTTGTTTGCCACCATGTGGGTGCTGGGATTCAAACCCAGTCTTCTGCAAGAGCAACCAGTGCTCTTACCCACTGATCAATCCTGCTGCTCCACTGGATTCTCAAAGGCAAAAAAGTTGTGCAAACTGAGAGATTCGTTAGTGTCATCTTCTTTACCCCTGTCCTATGTTCCATGAATCTTAGGTATAGAGGCTGCACTGTAGATGTGTCACTTAGGCCTGGGCAATTCATAGACAATGTCTATGTGTGACCAGTTGTGGTACTTGGTATTAGTCTCTGACTGGTGCAAAATGAGTTTCTTTGATGAGTGGTGACTGGGATATTTATCTGTAAACATAAGAATACATATTTTGCACATAGTAAGAAATCACATTAGTCTAGTGATGTGACAGTCTTGGGGTTTTCTCTAAGATCTATGACCTCTCCAGCCATGTGTATTTGGTTATGTTTACATACCACACTTGAGTTTCCTCCCATTGAGTGGGCTTTTTAGTCCAATTAGGTAGCTGTTGATTGTGCCCAAGATAAAAGTGCCATGACTGCACCAATGACGAATGCTGTGCTGGCCACTGATGTGGTTATTTGGTCTTGAAGCTGGTGTTGGACCATCCATTGATGTTTTCCCTCGGCACCTTCACAGCACTCTCCAAAGCTATGAGAGCGGCCTTCAGGGGACGTGGTTTCAGGTCAGTTGCAGCTCTATTGCTCCAAATCCTGTGTCATAAGTATGTTCTGTCTTCAGCAGTAGGGTCTTACCTTCAAGTTCTGGGAGGCCATCAAGGGCTGTGACAATAGCCTGAGTAATTTGGGGAGTCTCTTGGACCACCCTGGCCAATAGCTCAAAGGAAGTTATCTCAGTTCTCAATAATGAAGGTCCCTCATTCAGCCAAGGGCCAGGAACACAAAAGGTCGCAAATGGCCAAAGTGTACAGATCAAGAGTCTGCTGAATGATGGTTCTTGGACCGGGTTCCTTTATTAAACTTCACCTACCCAAGGCTCAGGGACCATCTTGGAAGGACTGGCAGAAAGATTGTAAGAGCCAGGGAGGAGGTGAATGACCATATGGAAAGAGAGTCCTACAAGCTCCTGGGAACCTGCTCATATGATTCTATGGCAATGGTGTCAGCATACACAAGTCCCATGCAAACTCAGGCAGACAATAAGTCAGCATAGAACTGGGGAAATGAACATCAGACTCCAATCTTATCTGAAGAAATACTGGCAACTGATTGCTTCTAGATGAAGATGAGCTGATCTTCCTAAAACAAGGGACTCTAGATAGGCTGACTAGACCTCAGTGGAGGGACTTGCACTTGGGAATGCCTGGGGACAGACACAGTGGGCCTTAACAGGGATGACAGAATATATGGGCTGGGGGCATGGGAGGGTGACAGTGGGTACTGGGGTATAAAGATGATTAAGATTGTTTGAGATGTTCTGTATGAAATACACAAAAAAATTCAATAAAAACTTAAAAAAAAAAAAAGTTGTGCAAGACATACTTTGATAGACCCAGATGGATGAGTCAGAGTACTGAGCCCGCCCACAGTGTGCCCAGCGTTTTCTTTAAACCTGGGCAACCAGGAAGTTCCAGGCGCAGGCGGAGGCGCATGCCGCGAACTTAAAACCACTGGAGCAACTTTTCCAGGGGAGAAGCAAAATTCTTCATCGTCTTTGAGAGCTGGACACGCGGGATCCCTGACGAAGAACTCGGCTTTAGCTCAATGGAGCGCAGCCTAAACTCCACCGAGCCACAGTCGGTGCTCGCTGCTTCTGCCGCTCTGGCAGGGCGCATCCCAGACCCGAGGCCAGCCCGGGGGCCCGGTCCTCGGCCTCCGGTCTGCAAGAACCTCAAGTTCCCCGTCGTGGGATTCCTGCTGCTGGTGAGTGAAGCCAGGAAGGGCGCCCCGCGGGGAGCGGAGAAAGAGGGGAGCGAGGCCAGTGCCCAGGCTCGGTCACGTGCAGCATGCCTGGGCACCACTCCGGGCTACCGGTGTGGGGCCGGGGAAGAGCGCGCACCCGGCTCCGGGGAAGCGGGGACCGGGAAGGGCTCGCACCGGGCCGGGGTGGTGGAGGGAGGCGGGAACGGGGAAGCGCGCGCACCGGGCTCGGGGGAAG